GAACTGTTTCCTTTGAAAGAGTGAATTTATGGTATGTGAGTTATATTTTAATAAGTCATTATTAAAATGAATATGTAATAAAAATATTTTCAGACCATCAAACATTAGGAGATAGTAGAATAGTTACTTAAGACGACACTTTTAGAACAGAATGATTTGGCTTACTGGGAAATGACTCAGTTCTCATCTGCTTTCATTACTATTGTTAATTAGAAGGAGCTTGCACAATGAATTTTTTTTTTTTTGGAGAGCTTTTTTTTTTTTTTTTGGCTACGGGGGGCGGGCGTGTCCCCCAAAAAAATTTTGGCTACGGGGCACGTGCGCTTGCCAGAAAGACAGAAAAAGAGAGACAGAAAGCGAGAAATCACCCCCCAGGGGGGATGGCCATGCCGTAGTCCCTTCTCCTCCATTCTCCTCTCGGGATCTTGGGCACGTACGCATGCACACGTGCCCGGCATGAGTTTAAGCCACCAGGTCCAGGACTTGAACTGCAGTCAACTACATGAGAGTTCAGTGACATAGCCATTATGCTAACTGCTGGTCCCGAATTCTGGTCTTAAAGTTTTCATACCAAATTCTCATATGGCATTCTTTTGGGCCAAGATTGCTGTTATCATTTTAAGGCAAGTTTATAGCTTCCCTAAACAGACCTATAACAACTTAAATTAACTACCATTTATTTTATTGTTTCTGTTTGGGGGAACTATGGACATTTTATGAATTATCTGTCCTTCCTTTTAAAATCATACAGTTAAAGAATAAAAAGTTGTTTGTAGCCATCCTGCCACTCTGATCCAAGCTCTTTTTGTTAGTGAAAGGCATTGAGTATGTCATGGTAATATATACAACTGTTAGTACTATTTTAACAAAAGTTAACTCTTTCTAGTGCTTACTAATGTGTCAGACTCTTGTACATGCTTTGCCTGTGTTATCTCATTTAATCCTCACAGATACCTATGAAGTAGATGATATCGTTATTCTCCCTTTACAGATGAGGACACTGAACATAGAGGAATAAAGTGACTTACTCAAAGTCACATAGCTAGTAAGTCACAGAGAAAGAAATCGAACACAAAGCATGACTCCATGGTCTGCATGTTTCCCAGGGCACTGCACTGCCTCCCACATATCTAGACTTGGAGCTAGACCTGGGACCTAGTCTAGTTAGTCTTATGTTCTAGCTCTATGAGTTGAGGCAAATCACTAAATGCTTTGCCTTGGCTTTCTGATCTGTAAGACAGAGATAATGATACCTGCTCTAGCTTTCTCCCAGAGGTTTTGTGATAATCAAATTGGGGAAGAGCTTTGTACAGCATTACAAAACTAGTTGGTTTATTGAAGTAAAGCTGAGATTACTCCCCCACCATCAAACCCGACTGGTAGAGCTAAGCAGCTCCACTCCATGCAACGATGGAGTATTCATTTGCCTCCACTGAATTACAGTGGGCTGCAGAATTTTCTGAGGGGAAAGACTTGACTCTGTTCACACCTGAGGCCCAGGTATTCCCTGACATGGTTGATAAATCAGAACTTATAACGCCCAGATTGCATGGAGGTTAACACGCGATCCCTCTCAGATGATTACTTTGAGAAAGATAAGAGCCTCCCATGATGGACTGAGCTCAGTAATAGGGAACAACGTCCCTGATATTGCTGAATTCCAGTCTCATGCTACCAGAAACGTCCCCAGATCAACCACTCTGGAGGAATGGAGGTGCCCTGGGGCCAAGAAAGGCTGTGAGTGTAAATTGTGAAGGCTTTTCACTGAACTCTGTTACACTCTGGGACCTTATCAGAGGTGAATAAGAGGGGCAATAGTTTTTGGCAAGAGCAAATCAGCACTGAGAAGCTGGTGAGGAGAGTCCCACTGTCACCATCACTGGGACAGCAGCTGGAGCTTGCACTAGCCAGCTCGGCCAGCCCCGATAGAACAGACGGGTTCCTGGACTTAAGAGAAACACCCCTTCAGGAATTTTCAAAACTCTCTAGGGAAATAGAGATCTGTGGAGGCCTGCTCTGTTTACATAAGCACATGGGACCACAGAACTTTAATATCTTTCCCTTCTCATTTCTAGTCATGGGCTACAGAAACATGGACATTTCAGTCATACTATTCCAAATTATTTTTATTATTGTTTTTATTGTAGGGAAGCAGACTCACTCAACCAGGGTTAAGCAACTAAATCCAGCTTCTTGTGGGGCCATCTCTGGGGACTGGGAAGGAAGGTGGTGACTTTCTAGGGTAGGAAATACTCCAGAGAGGAAAGTACCATTTCCTAATTTTTATGAGTAATATGTTTTCCAAGAGAACATTTTTCGGAAGTTGAGGCAGTGGTGTCTGAATGCAAAAAGCCCCACCCATTGTTGCTGGAAGTAGCTTTTACTCTTCAACATTCCTTTGACTTTTGATCATTCTTCAGAGATGATCATTTAGCTGTAGGCAAAAGTTGAAGGTAAGGATCCAAAGGAAAATTTTTTTTTCTTTTTCTTTTCTTTTCTTTCTTTTTTTACACTACTTTTCTTTTCTTTCTTTTTTTACACTACTTTCTTTTTTTACACTTTTCTTTCTTTTTTACCCTATAGCATGTGCTATAGGGCACATGCGCAAGCCAGAAAGACAGAGACAGAGACAGAAAGTGAGAAATCACCCCCCAGGGGGGATGGCCACGATGCAATCCCTTCTCCTCCATTCTCCTCTCAGGATCTTGGGCACACACGCACACGTGCCCGGCATGAATTTAAGCCACCGGGTCCGGAGCTTGAACAGCAGTAGACTACATGGGAGTTCAGCAACATAACCATTACACTAACTGCTGGTCCCGAGAAAAGATTTTAAGAACACAACTAATTTTGTATTTCAAACATACACATGGAAGACTGTTCAGGGACACACTCTAATTACTCAGGATAAGCTCAGACCTGCCAGGTTAGCATGCCTCTGTCTTTGCCAGTTTTAAAATTCATGTGATGAATGAGTGGTTATGTGTGTGTGTGTGTGTGTGTGTGTGTGTGTGTGTGTGTATGTGTGTGTATGTGTGCATGTGTGTGTGGCTGTTGGCTTGTCTTACACTTTTTGCTGGATTTCTAGGCTTCTGCCGGCAGAAGGGTTCTCTACACCACACCCACCCAGAGTGAAAGGCTCTCTTTCCACAGGTAAGCGTTCAGTCTTCCATGCATCACCCATTCTGGAGCTGTTGTCCCACTATGTGGTTCCAGCAGGAACTGAAGAGCCAACAGCCCAGAGCCCAGAGGATTGCCACATCCTGATCTCACCCTGCTGGATGCAGTTAGCCCTGTTCAAGGAGGAAGCAGTACTGTTCAAAACGAAGGAATCGGGGCACCTCAGTGATTTATCATGAGGTGTCCAGTATCGTATCAAATCACGGTGTCGCTTCTAGCAGAGTCTAAATTTCTCATCTGAGCAGTTGGTAGTGCTTTTTATAGCAGTCTAAATTCCTTGACCTATTGCAGAGTTTAAATTTATTTTTAAACAGTATAAAAGTATTTAAACCCTTTTCTCCTGTAACGTCCTTCTGGATTAGTCACGTTGGGCTCAATTATGCTGCAATAGCAAACAGTACCTTAGTCATTTCCAGCTGCTCATTATAATGATAGTTATTTCTCCCTTATTTGATATGTCTGACAGATAAGGGATTGGGGCTCTTGCTCCTCGAGGACACTCAGAAGCCTTGGATGAAGGAAAGGTTACTATCACATAATGCTACAGGGGATGAAGGAGCATGGGGAATAGTGCACTGGCCCTTAAAATCTTCCACGTATTGGCCGCCAGGCGGCATGGTGGTGAAAACACTGGATTTCCACATGGCCAGCTGTGGTTTGAGTCCCAGACTTGGCAGTTTGCCTTCTCACTTTCCCTCTCTACTTCTCTGGTCAAATAAAATAAATTAATTAAATTAAATAGTAAAATAATTCTTAAAAAAGAAAAAGCTTCCGGGGCCAGCAGGTGGTGTGGTGGTTAAGGTGCTGGACACTCCCACATGGCCGACCACAGTTCGAGTCCCGGACCTGGTGACTTGCTTTCTCACTTTCCCTCTCTCTCTCTCTGTGTCTCTCTCTGGTCAAATTAAAAAATAAATGAGTGGATAAATAAATAAATAATTTAAAAAAAAAGAAAAGAAAAAAAAAAAGAAAAAGCTTCCACCTAGATATGCATGTTTCCTGCTTATATTTTATTGGTCAAAACAGTAACTTGGTCTTGTCTAACTTCGATGGAATAGTGAAGTGCACTTTCCCTGTGTCCTAAAAAGAGAAAATCTATACACATGAAGGAGCAGATGCCATGTCTATCATACCTTCAAGGAGATATCCAACCTGGAATGCCATAAGATGTAAAATTCTTTAATTGTGTGATGATATTAACCCCAAGCAGGGCAGATGGTAAGTCATTCTGAGCATTTTCTCCATCAAATATCCCGCTATTGGTTTATTGAACAAGCGACTGTTCTGTGCTGAGCAGTGTGAGCAAAAGAAGCATTTGAGACCTGTTTCTTTGCCCTCCTTAGATCTTACTTCAGGAGAGAGAGACAGACAGAGCCACAAAAGAAATTCAGATTGCTACGGTGTTCTGAGGTGGCAGGAATTCCTTGTAGCTTTTGAGAATGACTTCGAAAAAGAGGCCTTGAAGAACATGGGAATTCTTTAATGCAAATTTCAATTGCTCTCTAAACTGGTAGACATCTGTTGTGTTCTTTTGATGCAAATGACACAAAATAGTTGAAAGAGGAAAATAAAAGTCTGCACAGCCTGCAATCTTATTTCTTCAAAATAAGCATGTGTAAAAAGATACATGTGTGTATGCACATGCTCACATGCATTTTCATATTCATATACATATATGCGGATGTGTATATTCACATACATACATGTGTATGTAATCCGTTTTTAATAGCCAACCAAGTACCCTACGTCTCTATATCAAGGGGTGGAGGTTGGTTCGTGTTTGGCAGGTGTGAGTCCGTTCCAGATCCCATTGGATAGAGATGCAGAGGCACGAGGCAGAGGTGAGCAACTCTGACTGGCAGCATCCTAAGCGGAGTTGTGGGAAGAGAAGAAGCTGGGAAGGTAAGCAAACAGGTCTCAGAATATGTCATGCCAGGTCAGAGAATTTCAGCAATTTCCAGTGGGCCATCTAGAAAGTCATGATTTGTTTACAATTAAAATAACCTTTAAAGAAGTCTTGTGCATTGTATGAAACTTAGAAAATACAGAGAAGCTATAGAGAAGGAGAATGCCCATCATCTCTCCACTCAAAAGATCATCCATTAAACATCTTGGTATCTATATGTCTATGCAGTTTTCAGCACCTGCACCAATTTTATTTTTTTACGAAAAAAGAATCATAAGCCTAAGGCACTATAACTTGATTTTTTTTAATCTAAAATTGTCTTAAGTTTTCTTTTTGTTTAAGAATGAAAATATAAAATTTTTTAGTGGTCAAATAGTATTCTATTGCCTGGACTTTTACTCATAAAAAAATCTAGTTGAGGTGCACACAAATGTAAAGATCAATTTAATTATCCTCCCCTTAAATACCTCCCCTTCCTCTGGCTTTGAAATCATGAATTGATTCATGAACGGCTACATTTCATGAATACCTGATAGGTAGAAGATTCTGTGCCTGGTACCATGTGCAGGGGAGGGGAGGAGTTTACAAAAATAGAAGAGCAGAGCAATTTCCTAACCAGAAATTGAAGAGGATTGGGGGACTGAGAATAATAGAGCAGAGTTTTGCCTTTAGAAGACTTTTCTCAATGAACTTTTGAAGGGAGATGGGCCTAGTGAAGACTAGAAGCTGGAAGAAATAGCAAGGGCTCATTTCCCCTTGGACAGAAAGAGGCGAGTGGCACACACAAAGCACGTGAGTTATTCAAGGCAGTAGGAGGCAGCTCCAGGAGTAAGACGGAGATGCTCTCCCACACATACCCTCACCTGGGCAGGTGGAGTCACAGCTTCTTTCCCCGGGGTTCTAAGTACAAATGGGTGTTCAAAACACCATTTCACGGGTTTTTATTCCTATACTCGGGAGCACATACAAAGCTGGCCATGTGTTTAAGAATGTCATGGGGTCGGGGAAGGAGCAGGTGGTGTAGTGGTGAAGGCACTGGACTCCCACATGGTCGGCCATGATTCGAGTCCCAGATGCAGCGGCTTGACACTCATGCTGGGTGCGTGTGTGTGCGTGCCCAAAATCCTGAGAGGGGAATGGAGGAGAAGGCATTGTGGTGTGGTCATCCCCCTGAAGGGTGATTTCTTGCTTTCTCTCTCTCTAGCAAATGCACATGTCCTATAACAAACAAACAAACAAATAAAAAAACAAACAAAACAAAAACAAAAACAAAAAAAACCCTCTCTCTCTTAAAAAAAAAAAAAAAGATGCATGAGATGCAGACCTCATCTCACAACCAATGACCATTGCCTGAGTAGAGAGAAGAAACACTTGGCAAAGGCCTCTATGCAAATAGCCTGAAAGACGGTTTGACCTTGTACATAACAAGATTTGAGGACTGGTCTAATTAGGTGGAGATAATTATACTCGCACCATTACTTCTGGCCACCAAATGTGTGTTTTTTCCCCTCTGTGCCAACAGGTTCTTCAGTCTTCAGTGGATAGTGACTGGGTGGCCTACACTTCAGTTCAGTTTGGAGACTGTCTACCTGGAGATGGCATCGGGTCCCACAGGTGAAGGGTTCAGTGACAGAAGACTGTTCCCTTCGTCTAGACACCAGTAGAAAGTTTAGGTTATCACCCGTGATTCTGACCAAATGGCTATAAATTGGAGGTTCCATGACACCTTGGTCCCTTCTAGTGGCTGTGAGCTTCATCTGGAGGTCACAGATGTCTCCAGGGAACTCCTGTCCCCTTTTATTTCTGCTGCTGAAACTCTACTCTGGCTTCATGTCTTAGCTCAAATGTTACTGCCCCTGGAAAGCCTTTCTACATCTTGGGGCTGTGACAATGCTGAAGGAGATTCAGCCTCACTTTGTGTTTCCAAGGGCTCTATTTTTTTGTTAATAATGCCCAGGACCTGGTATTGTCATTTATCTGTTTGCAAGTGTCGCAGCACTCTACCATGTCAGTAGAGCACAGAGACTGTGTCTTCATTCTTCTTTCTGTATAGCTTTGATACTATCTAATTTCCATGGCATTTTATTCACATGAGGTCTCCTGTTTAAAGCATACAATTTAAGGGACCAGCAGTTAGCATAATGGCTATGTCGCTAAACTCCCATGTAGTTGACTGCAGTTCGAGTGCCAGACCTGGTGGCTTAAACTCATGCCCGGCACATGTAAGTGCATGCCCAAGATCCCAAGAAGAGAATGGAGAAGGGATTGCGGCATGGCAATCCTCCTAGGGAGTGATTTATCGCTTTCTATCTCTCTGTCTCTCTCAGTCTTTCTGGTGAGCGCACACACCCTATAGCAAAAACTTCTCAAAAAAATATATATACAATGTAATGGTTTTTAATATATTCAGAGTTAGGGGTCAGCAGGTGGTGTGGTGGTTAAGACATTGGACTGCCACATGGCTTACCAGAGTTTGAATCCTGGACATGGCGACTTGCTTTCTCATTTCCCCTCTCTCTCACTTTCTCTGTCTCTCTCTGGTGAGTAAAAAAAATAATAATAAATAAAATAAATAATTTTTAAAAACATATGCTCATGGTTATACAACAATAATCATCCAATTTTTAGGATATTTTTGTTTCCCCTGTGTAGATACAGGAATAAGCAAACTCAGTATCTCCTGAACGCTCACTTAACAACAAACTCTGAAAACTTCTGTGAACTCAGACATGTGGGAATTCCTCCTCACAAGCAAACAAGCAATGGGTTCTGCAGCAGACACCAATGGGCTGTCCTCTAACTGTGGGACCTGAACAATAATATGGAGACACAGGGTTCAGAGTAAACAAAATGAAGTTAGAAAGCCATGCAGGGAGGGCATCCTCGCCAGAATAGAATGTGAATCTTTAAACTGAATCAAAGTGAACTTCTGAACTGGGCCCAACTACAGAGCTCGTAAATATCCTGAAACCACACTTACAACAGCAAGCAGACATTACCTGGAAGAGATTGGCTTTTTTACCTGGGGTTATCCTGGAAATCAATCCTGTATGATCTAGCATTAGGATGACTTGTCGACATCAGTCACTCGATTTGATAAGTCATTTGTGTATGCCTCCTGGAATTTCTTTCGGTTTTTATTTTTTACTTCTCTCTCCCTTTTTAATAGCTTTTTTTTAAAGAGAGATTTTTGCTGTAGGCTGCCTATGCTCACCAGAGAGACAGAGAGACAGAAAGGGAGAAATCAACCCCTGGAGGGAATGGCCATGCTGCAGTCCCTTCTCTATTCTCCTCTTGGGATTTTGGGCATGCATGCACATGTGCCTGGCATGAGTTTTTTAAGCTGCTGGGTCTAGGACTTGAACTACAGTCAACCACATGGGAGTGACATAACCATTACACTATCTGCTGTTCCTGTTCTCTCTCCCTTTAAAAGCCTGTATAATTTGAGCTCCAGTGGAAATTCTGGCTCTGAGGATAAAACTATGCTCCTGGATTGAAGTCTTTAAAAACCCTGAGCAAAATGCCTTTCTTTGCTGTTACTTTGTTAGTTCATTTCAGATCAGTGGACACTTCATGCTGTCAGATGGCGGATACAAAGTGACTCTTGGCTGTTCCCCAGGGCCACCAAGAACTTGAGCAAGATAACTGCTGGAGTTTTTTGTACTCTGCTGTCCTTCTGCTGTCCTGGACTTCAGAGGATGAGTCCTCTTATCCCCTGAACCTTGTACCTTAGTTGAGGTTCAGACCTTTTTTAGAGTATTTTTTTGGGTGTTGGTTGTCACAAAGGATGTTTACTTTGTTCTATTAGTACTCATGGGTTGTTCACAGTCTAAAGGTACAGCTGAAGATACTGGAACTCATGCTGGTTATATGTACAAACATTATGGGTCCTCGTCATGTAACTTTTTGACACATTGGACCAACTTTACTAAAAGTAACCTTAACTTACAGTTAAGAGTCTTTTAATTTCCCCAGATTAGTTTGCCTCTGGAAAACTGGAAGAGCAAAAGTAAAAAAGTAGGCCATTCTAATAGGATTCATACTTTACTTAGTGTTTAGAAGCATCTAAACAATTACAATAAAAGAAACTTGCTTCTCTAAAGGATAATCATGCCAAGTTAGCTCAAAAACTCTAAATTTAAAAAGATTTTCGAGTTTTCTAAAATGGAAACAGCACCTGAATTGAGCACTTCGTTTTCTACCTCCTCTTCCTGACTACCCCGACAATACCTCTTCCCCTCCTTGTCCCCAACTTGTTTATCCAGCTTTGTCTGAACTTCTCTTTCCCCATGGCTTCTTTCACAGTGCTTCTGTTAACACTGGTTCCTTTTAAAGGACTTCTCTTAATGCTCTCACTGTTGTTATTCAAGTGCCTTTTAAAGTGAGTACAAAAGGGGCAATAGGACCTCTATGGAGAGATCTTAACCTCTACTCCCAGGACTAAAGCAGAATTCAGGGCTAAAGACTTCTCAGACCCTTTAGAGAATCCTATTGGCTTTGCTAAAGAGTTCGATTCAATAACTAAGGCCTATCAGCCCAGCTACTCTGATTGTCGCCAGTTAATACATAGGATTGTTGGCGATGTGCACACTTGGAAGTAGACAGGAAAAGCTCAGTAGCAAAAGTTCTTAGAAGATTTTTCTGAATGAGTAGCCACTGACTTAACTGATGCCCTAAATGAGCCAAAGAACTATATAAACAAATTCTTGAGGTCTTTCTGAAAACTATTGACTGAGGAAAAAAGCCCCCAGCAATGTATGCAAGAATCAAACTGGTCTATAAGTACTATGATACATAGCAAAAGCTTTTAAACAACATTCTGTCCTAAAGAAGATAAGTCCTGAGAACTCTGCCCTTTTTAACCAACTTTTTAAAATTTTTTAAAAAGTTTACTTATTTATTTCTTTCATGAGAAAGAGAAAGAGAGAGAGAGAGAAAGAGAGAGAGAGAGAGAGATCCACAGCCTCAGCCAGCCAGGCTCACAGTCATACAG